CCCTTAATACCCTTCTCCTATGGTCCTACCTCTCTTGAGCTCCTTCTTTCCCTTTATCCCCTAGGTTCCTTGTATACCCTTCCCTCCCCACTCCCTTAAACTAACCCAATTTTTATCCATATCTCCCTTATTAAGGCCTGTTTCCTACTGTTCTACTCTGTCAGGTTCTTTTTTTTCCTTTACCTCCCTGGTAGAACCTTGGTAAAACCCTAATTTTGATGGCATTTGGGCATCTCTTGATCTATCTGGTTAGGCAATTTAGGAGTGATGGGCCCACCATAAAGGCTAGGAGGAATATTACCAGAGGCCCAGTAAAACTCAATTACACCTGAATTATTGGCATAAAAACAGCAAACTTCACGTCAGGCCATGTATGAGCCATCTTCTTTTAGGAACAGTAGTTCTGTCCCCCTTCTGCTCTGTAGCACCATTTTAGATAGGGAGTTAACCTGTCTCTCCAACTGCTGATGGAGTCCTGTAGACATCTGATGTCTCTGTCTATCTGAGAGCTTAGAGGTCTAAAATTTTTATTACCCATGGCTAGGGTGGCAGCAGCCAAGGCATCAGAACCTGCAATGCCCGTTTTCACAATGATGGCAGTAGCCCTTGAGAGACCTGGGTTAAGGCAAAGTGTTTTTGCCCATTCTCTCTGTTATAGAGATAAGCCTGGGGGAGAACATGGACTAGTACGCACATATCTCCATGGTGAGAGTCCCGTTTTAGCTGTTCTGTAGTCATGTACTTAGTAAGGTTGAAGGTGCATGCCTGTCAGGTGGTTTCAGGGGCATGAAAGAGTAAACCTAGGTTTCCTGCGAACTTATGGGGCTATCTGATGCTCTAATATTTTACCCCCTCTGAAGACGTAACCTTTAAAGTTTAGGGATTAGACAAGAGCTCTTAAATACTTTTGGTGTTTCTAGACTTCGATACAGACCAGGCTGCAAAGAAGCCCAAGGACATTTTGACTGTTTGAGACAGGGTCTTACTCTGTACCCTTGGCTGTCCTGGAACTCACTGTGTAGACCAGGCTGGCCTCAGACTCACAGAGAGCTGCCTGCCTTTGCCTCCTGAGTGCTGAGATTTAAAGGCAAATGCCACCAAGCCCAACGAGCTGTTGCTTCTCAATCAAGGAAATGCTACTATTTCCACAATGACAGAAATCTTTGTGTATTTATAAGAAAACTAAAATGAGTTTTTCAGAAGGCAGTATTGAATTGCTTTCACAAAGAAAGAACCCTAGAACATTCTTTCTAAGACTTGTTTCTAATAAAAATTATAGTTTTGACAAGGTATATCTTTGCTTTTCAGAACAACTCTTAGAATTTATGCACCAGCTGCCTGCCTTTGCCAACATGACAATGTCAGTGAGACGGGAGCTCTGTGCTGTGATGGTGTTTGCTGTGGTGGAGAGAGCCGGGACCATTGTGCTGAACGACGGTGAAGAGGTCAGTGGCTATTTTTACCACTTAGAAAATTTGAGAATCTTGCAGTACAACACCCAGATAAAACCTTGTTTTTATGTTTCCCCTCTTAAAACCCAGCAGTAATAAATTCAGTAGATAGAAAATGAATTATCGTTTTGTCCTGGTCTTCCAAACCCATTGTTTTATTTTTCACTGTGTACAGCATTTCCAACCGTATTGCTTGAGCTCTTGTTTTCGTTTGGGTGCTGGGGCCTCTCACACTAGAGGCAAGTGCTATTCCTCTAAGCTACACAGTCATCCCCAAAATGTTTTCATGTGGTAGCTTTTCAATTTTTGCCATTTCCATCATAAACAAACTGCCTTTGATCAGTACAAAAATTGTACTCTGTGCTAGGCCTAGAAAATATGCCAGTGTGTGACTCCATTTCATTGCTTACCTGTTGAACTTGTTGAATGGCTTCACCTTTCAAGTTACTTAGTCCATCTTTAAAATAGAATATAGGTTACTTTGGGGACCTTCACAGCCGGCTGATTGCAGTAGTATTTATTCTACTTTGTCTCTCCCCACCCACCCCCTAGCTGGATTCCTGGTCAGTGATTCTCAATGGTTCTGTGGAAGTGACTTACCCAGATGGGAAAGCAGAAATCCTGTGCATGGGAAACAGTTTCGGTGTTTCTCCCACCATGGACAAAGAATATATGAAAGGGGTGATGAGGACGAAGGTGGATGACTGCCAGGTACGAGACACCATGGCAGTGTAGTTCTTAGTGAAGAACATTTATGTGCGCTTGCTGAAGTTTTCTGCCTATATTAATGTCATCTTACATTTATAAATAAGATTATATCATGAACCATTTTTTTAAAAATTATTATTTTTATTTTATGTATATGCGTGTATTGCCTGCATGTATATGTCATGCAATGCCTGCAGAGGTCAGAAGAGGCTGTCGGATCCCCTGGGACTGGAGTTATGGACAGTTGTTAGCTGCCATGTGGGTGCTGGCATTTGAACCCAGGTCTTCTGCAAGAACAACCAGTGTTCTTAACCACTGAGCCATCTCTCCAGCCCCTTGGATGATTATTTTTAATGTTTTGTCCTAAGAAATGAAAACAAAATCTTTTTCAAAGTTATTAAAAGTCTTAAAGGACTAGTTTTTTCTTTTGTTGTGTTTTTTGTAATGTTGAGTTTCGAACTGAGGGCCAACATATGTCAGGAAATACTCCACTACTGAACTACTTCCCTAGTTCCTAGCTTCTGTTTTTCAAAAGGATTTCTGAATTACAGAATTTTAAAATTGCTATGAAATTAGCAAACTCAGAAGGGCCAGTGAGTTTGCTCAGTGGCTGAAGCCCTTGTTGCTCAAGGCTGGCAACCTGAGTTTGATCCCCAGAATCCATAGTTGGAAGAAGAGAACTAACTCCACAAAGTCGGTCTCTGACCTCCGCACATGTGCCATGGACTCATGCCTCCCCCAATAATAAATCTTTTTAATCTTTAAAAATTAATAATCTAGTCATCAAAAATATAAAATCAAATGTGCATTATGAAAAGAAATTAATAATAGATTAACAAATACTATATGTATAATTGTGCGGCGTTTTTATTTAAGTAGATTCCAGAAAAGGAATTGATTTTTAGAAGAACCATAGAATTGATCCACATTATCAGATTAAAAAATGGTAATAAAAAGTACTCAATAGCAAAAAAAATAATGTGTTGATTTGATGTTGATAGTCTTTTAACACTGGACTAGAGAAGACATTAGAGCAGTATGATTTTAATTAGATTAATTTAACAAGTAGATTCTATATCATAGTGAAGTGCTTTAAGAGTCTTTTGTTATTAAGTGTTTATAATTAATGTATTAGAAAACTAGCTTTAAGGAATAAATGTTTTAACTGGGCGTGGTGGCACACGCCTTTATAATCCCAGCATTTGGGAGGCAGACTGATCACCATAAGATTGAGGCCAGCTTGGTCTACATAGTGGACTCCAGGCCAGCTGGGGCTACAGGAAGACCCTGTCTCAAAAAAAAGACTTTAAGAAAAAAAATAAAACAAATGGGAATAAATGTTTTAACTTTAATGTAACTAAACCAAAAAGATTTGGTCACTGTTGACTGTTCATTGCATTCATTAGTCTACAGTTTAAACAACTAAACATTGTTTATTCTAAAAGAGCATAATTGAATTTTTACAGATTTATTTTAGTTTTAATTAGCATATATGTGTGTGTGAGAGACACATGTGCATGTGTCCACAGAGTAGAAGAAGTGTTGGATCCCTTAGAGCTGGAGTTATAGGTGGTTGTGAGCCACCTGGTACAGGTGATGGGAATCGAACTCAGGTCTTCTGAAAAAGAAGTACGCACTCAACTGCTGAGCCATCTTTCAAAGCCCCTAAAAGAACATAATTGAATGCTTCATGTTATTATAAAATGACGCTACTCTCTTAAATTTTTACTTTAAGCACTTTGCTTACTAAAATGGAAACAATCAAGATAGCTACAACTGAAATAATACAGAATCAAAAGAAATTTGCCTACTGATTGCTTTAATTTGCCCCATAGAGGTGCAAAAGGACTATGAGTTAAATGTTTTAAAATATAATGACAGACCTGTACACATAGAGACATACAGAAATAAAAATAAATCCTATGTATATCCAGAAAATCATTCTATATAATTAGTTCTCAATTAGTACCATAGGGGAAAACAAAAACAGTTGTTAATCCTCAAGTATTTGTTTGGGTATGCTAATAAATATTTAGACGGGATTATATGTGATATTCAGCTCTGGAACTGTATTCCAAAAAAATAACGAAACCAAGCTGAGCTAAAACAAGCTAGAAAAATTAAAAATTTTTCTCCATTCTGCAGTATCTCATCGGTTCTTCCCTGAACTCTTCCTTATGTTGATATTACAGAATGTTTGAGTTTGAGTCTGTTCTTTAAAGGTCAAGAAAAATTTAGTTCATTTTTGAGAACTCTTGTCAGAATACCAAAATGTGCACTCTTCTTTTTGGAAACAGTAGGAACCATGAAATGACCTCCATAGTTCCTATCATCTTACTGACCATATGACACCCAGTTAATAGTTACTTATGTATTGAACAAAATCTGTGGTGTCTTTTCCAAGAGAAAGAAAGCTTGCTAGGATTGTCCTTCATCATCTAACCTTTCAGTGGTTTCCAAAATAAGTATGCGGTCACGTGATCGATAATGTGGTTGAGTTCGGGTAAAGCCACAGAAAACAATGGTGATAGTATGGCAAGGTGGCATACTACCTGTAATCCCAGGACTTGTGGGGCAGAGGAGGACTTTGTGTTTGAGGGCAGGCTGGAATACATAAGGAGACGAAAAACAAAAAAGGATGAATGGATCAAATATAATCTTCATTTTGCTCCTGTTTGTGTTTTGTCCTGGGTCCCTCTTAAAGTTCACTCCCCCTAGGTCTGTTATCACTCTGTTTGTTGGATATGAAGGACAGAGGTCAAGGTGTTGTTTAGATACCATGGTTACCAGGTGATTAGTAATGGCTTTCCATCCTCCACATTCACCTCTTTACTTTTTCTCTTCTCCCTTCTCTACCGCTTTTCACCATGTAAAGCTTTCTCCATTGCCTGTCTTAGATCTGCTCTCCACTCTTCAGTGGGGGGTGAGCACTTACATGCCTGCGTGAGTTTCTCCTACCCACTGCTAAGTGTCAGTTTAAATATATATAACCTCTTAAGAAGGTAAATCTGTGCTAGACTCACCCTTTCCTGGGACACAGGAGCTAATAGTACTGGAATTAAGAAGCAGTTTATTGTATGTTGAAAATTAGCTATGCAATTAATCATGATGCCCTTTGCCCAGAGGAAAATAGTCTCCTGCTGTTGACCTTAGTTTTTCCTTCCAGCAGAGCTGGGTGTGGAAGGGGCTGCCCAGAGCCTGCTCCAGCCTAGATTTTCATGGTGCTTGTTAGTTTTGTTCATTTTTGCTTTGTTTTGCTGTTTCACAAGCAAAATCTTGTTCGAATTTTTATTTCAATCAGGGTAGTAAGAGCATATATTCAGTACTTTCATGTGCTTGCAGCTGTCTGAAAGAGCAGAGCTCATTAAAACATTTATAAACTTGCAGCTGATTTCTCCATACCAGTTAAAATTAAATTTTTCCTATAAATTTCATGTTAGATCTATAAATTTCTTCTTTTTAGCTTTCATTAGATTTAAATTTACACAACAAGACTTATTGAAAGCCAAAAGGCATCAAAATTAAAATGGAACTCAACAGAAATAGTTAAGCGTGCACAAGCGCAGAGCCAGAACACTGCAGTATGTTCCGGGCCTTGCTGCTCAGAAGAGGGAGGAAATGCACCCCCCAAGATTTAAACAGGACTTCTAAGAGAACTGATCAGGAATTTAAGGTTTGCATAAATGGGCTGATGCCAGTCCAATCGAAGACAGTTTCCTAGGATATTAAATAAGGCGTAGATAATAGTCACTGTTTAATTACTTTCTGTTGAAAGTAAATTTTTCCCTTCCCTTTCCCCCTTTTTTAGTTTCCTGACTCTTTCTCTTACTCCCACGTAGATATATAAAAAGTTAAAAGTGAAGATCCACGTCTGAGAACATGCATGTTTGTCTTTCTGAGCCTGGGCTACTGCAGCTAATATTTTCTATTCCATGTATTTTACTGCACATCTCATGATTTCATTTTTCTTTATGACTGAATAATACTGCATTGTGTATATGGACCACATTTTATTATCCCTGTTGCTATTCCTTGCTATTGTAAATAGAGAAGCAGTAAACATGGATGGGCAGCTGTCTCTACAGTAGGATATAGAGGTGTTTCATTATATGCCCACCAGTGGTACAGCAGGATCATATGGAAGGTCTGTTTTTAGCTTATTGAGCAATCTCCACACTGATTTCCATAATGGCTGCACCAATCTGTACGCCTACCAGCAATGAATGAGTCAGGTTTCCCCTTCCCCCACATCATCACCAGCATTTGTTGTCATTGTTTCTTAGGATAGCCCTTCTGGCAGGGGTGAGATAGACTCTTAGAATAATTTTAATTTGCATATTCCCAGTGGCTAAGGATGTTGAACATTTTTAAAAATATTTATTGGACATTTTCACTTTGAGAATTCTCTATTCAGCCTATTTTTTTTCAATTGGGTTGTTTTCTTGTTTAGTTTTTTTAGTTCTTTGCTTATTCTAGATATTAATCTTCTATCAGATGTATAGCTGGCAAAGATTTTCTCCCATTTTCTAGGCTGCTTTTTTAATTGGTTAACAATTTCCTATGCTTTATAGAAGTTTTTTAATTTCATGGGGTCGTATTTGTCAATAATTAGTCTTAATTCCTAAGCAACCGGAATCCTGTTTCAAACAAACAAACAAAAAAGTTCTTACCTATGCCTGTATTTTAAAATGTCCATTTTTCCTCTAGCATGTTCAGAGTTTCAGGTCTTATATTAAACGCCCTTGAACCATTTGGATTTCATTTTTGTACAAAGTTAGACATAAGGATCTAGTTTTCTCCTTCACGGCAGTATGCAGTTTTCCCTAGTCCTATTTGTTAAAGAAGCTGTCTTCTTCAGTGAGTATTTTTTATATTTCATTACAGTTTAACATATTCAATAACAATTTCCAGAACAAAGATACATCTCTTTAGGGGCTGGAGAGATGGCTCAGCAGATAAGAACACTGACTGTTCTTGCAGAAGACCAAGGTTCGAATCCCAGC